ATTCTTAACATTTAGTTATTTGTAAAATTCATTTACTTAGAATTTTCCGTGACAATAAATGAGGTGTTCCCAAGTTTGGCTTTGTTTTCCCATCTGCCCACTTTTGAGACTGCCAACATAAACCTGAACACGAACATAGTGGAGGGGGACAATGCGATGAAGGGAAAATGCTGGGACAGTTTCTCTTTAACTGGAACAAATTGCTTAACACATCTAGCTAGTTATTTGACATACAAATACTAATCAATAAATATTTCTTGAACATCAATTTTAAAATAACTTACAAAAGAATGTTACATTCTTACCTCTAGATAACCAAAGTTCTCCCATCCGTACCTCTTGCAAAAAAAGTTGTTGCCATTTTTCATTCTTTTCTGGATTCCACAACTAAAAGATTCATAAAATATTTAACAATGAGTAATGAATGTAAGCTATATGGTTACTGATCAAAATTATTTTTATTTAAAAAGGACATCCTAAACCTAGTGCCTAAATCCAAAGTATGGCAAATGTAGCTGTTCTTTATAAAATTTAAACCAATTTTCTAAAACGGGGTTACAGTTCCAGTTGATAAAAATACATGGCATATTTAAATTAGGTTGAGATGCTTATAATAACTTTTATCCATATTTTACCCAGCTTACTTAGGTACACAGCAGAAATGCTACTGTAATTAATATAACAAAGGTAGTGTTGTATGTTGCAAAATTACTTTCTTGCCTGGGATATTAACAGAGCTTGTTGATTTCATTGCAATGGTTTATCTGGCCTATAGGGCTATTTGGGGTCATTTTGGTCTTTTGGTCTTAATACCTGTTCATACAGCAGTAAATCTCTAGTAGAGGAGGCAAGCAGCTATGTTAAGGCTTCTGTACTCACACTCTAAAAAGGAAAGACGCAAAGGACATGGTGGGAGGTTGGCAGAGCAGTTTCTGAGTGTTCAGAAGGATACTTTGGTTTGCTGCAGCCTGGTTCATGAAGGCGACCATGGCCACAAGATGGTGTCATCATTGATACATGCCTAGGGCTGGTATTTCAAGGTAGAATGGACAACCCCTAGACTAAAATGTCAACTCCACTTCCAGTCAATTCAGCCTCAATCTTTTATATCCAGAGGGTTTTTGTGTTTGTTTTCCCTAGGAATTCTCTGTTTAAAATAGGATGAGCCTAGAGAGGGGTCTTTCAAGCTTTTATCAGCAAACATGCTAATGATCAGTAACAACCACAGGTTCCATTCAATAGATGTTTAGTGAGCACTAGCAAGGACAGGACACTAGGAAGAGCTGGAAGGAACAGGAGACCAAGACCTCTGTGCTAATCCCCAAGGAGCCCACAGTCCAACGAAGGGAAAGGGATCACATAGGTCCAACAAGAAGTCCGATGTCCTCTGGGGTTTAAAGTACAAACACATTACATCGTGGTTGGAGAATCAGGGAAGGTTTCTCAGAAAAGATGACATTTGAGATGTGGAGAGATTCAGTGAAAGTTTGATGAAGAAAATACAAGCAACACAAAACTGCAGAGAACATATCAAAGTAATCTTATTTAGCTGGATTATGATAGGGTGAATGCAGCAACAATAATTACCATTACTGAAGACCAGCTTGAGAGTAGGGACTTTACATATATTATTTCCAATCCTTAGAAAAATAAGGCAGTCAGTATAGAATAGGCAGCCATGGAAGACGTGCTGCCAAGCTGAGGTTGGTCTTCAATCTGCAGAGTAGGAAGCTACTATAAGGAGTTACATATTCGGAGCTGCAGTTTAGAAGGAATTTATTCTGACAGCATGATTAGAGGCAAGGCAACAAGGTAGAAAATTATTGCAGTAGCCTGGGGAGAAGGTAATAGCATGGAAGCAATGGAGATAGAAAAGGAGTGGGATATATATGAGATAGATCATAAAAAAATAAAAATTGGATGTTGATTACGGTGGATGAGGTTGGTATTTATGCATGATGAGTCAGGGCTACAGCAGGGAGACTACTGGTATCAGAAGCATCATAGGAAAACAGGAGAAGGAAGAGGAGCAAAGGATGAGATGATGAATTTACTTCTGAACACACTAGAGGTGCCAACAGAGTGTCCAGGTGACAGAGTCTGGCAGATGAAACTTGGGATACCAGGTCTAGAGTAGTACATCTGAGATCACTTTTGAGAAGGTAAGGATCTAGCGAGAAGAGGGAAGAGTACAGAGCCTGAGGCCTGTGTTTCATAAAGAATCACCTGAAGGAGCTGTTAAAACTGCAGTTTCTCGGGCTTCACTAAGATCTACTGAATCAATCTCTGAGAGTAGGGCCCAGGAATCTGCATTTTAATAAGTTTTTTCAGGTGATTCTTATGCATTATGAGGTCTGAGAGTTGCTGTGATCCTTTAATCAGCCAGCATGAACTATCTATTCTTCCCAGTTACCACTGACACTACTATAGTTCAGGATTTTTATTACCTCTCCCCTATATTATTGCAATAGTTTGATCTCTCTTCCAATCCATCAAGCACACGCCTGCCTAATCAATCAAAGTTTGTTTTTCTTTTCTTTCTTTTTAAAAAATTCCTGCTTAGAAATCTTCAGTATTCCCCATTGAATTTCAATTCCTTAACCTGACTTTAAAGCAAGACTTCCCTAATTCAACTCCTCCTTAGTTCTGCAGCACTACCTCCCACTATTCCTCACTATGACTCCATTGCCAAACGGATTTGTATGTCTGGCAGATCTCCCACTTTACATTTTCACGCACATGCATTTCCTTCCATCCTGAATGTTGTCTCCCTGAAACCAGGCCCAAAATCAACCTTTCCAGGCTCAGTTCAATGCCACCTCCTCTCCGAAGTCTTCTGCACAAAAACTGCATTTTCCAAAAACAACCATAGAAATATTCCCAGTCCCATACGTGCTTTCAGATTCTTGCCTCCCCTATCAAGAGGTAGAGTCTATCTCCTCTCCCCTTGAAACTGTGCTTGAGCATGCCTCCATGATGCAAGAGGTGGCACCATCTACTCACCCACATAGGCACATGGCCTGGCACGCTCTCTCTCTCTGCATATATAACTATGTATGTGTGTGTGTGTGTGCACACGCTTATGCTTGTTTGCCCCTTGGGATCCAGCTCACTATACAAAGAAGAATCCCAGGCCACACGGAGAAGGCATGTCTAGGTGGTTTGGCTAACAGTCCCAGCTAAGTAAACAGCCAACACCAACTACCAAACATGAAGGAGTGAGCCTTCAGCTGACCCAAGACCCCGCCCTGGAACCATCCTGGCTGAAGCTGAATGGAGCAAAAAGATGCTATCCTCACCAAGCGCTGCTCAAATTGCAGATTCAGGAGCAAAATTGATAACTATTTTAAGCCACTAAACTTAAAACAACAATAGGTAAATACAACACCCTCCAAGATAATCCTACCCTGAAAATGATCAGGCTTCTCTTAAGTTCTTGTTACATCTGTTGACCTTATCCACTGCCTTGTTTGGGGGTGGGGGTTATTCTTACTCCTCTATTGCTGGCCTCTGCCAGGCCTTAGGACAATGCCTCACACATAAGAAGCTCAAAATAGGCGCTGACAGAAAGAATGATAGTTGAGACTTAATTCCTTCTGAAATTTCATAGAAGAACCTAAGAATTCCATGTAGTACTTTTAGAACTGATTTGAGTTAGTTAAAGCTGGGCCAATCACCAAGATGACTGCAGTTGTTATCTTTAAAAATAACTAAGCCAGGCGTGGTGGCTCATACCTATAATGCCAGCTGTTGGGCAGGCTAGCTGTTGGGCGGGCTGAGGAAGAAGGATTGCTTGAGCCCAGGAGTTCAAGACCATCTTGGGCAATACAGCGAGATCTCATCTTAAAAGAAAAAAAAAATATATACACACACACATATGTGTGTGTGTATATATATATGTGCGCAACTCTGTTTTAGAGAACACGAAGATGTGTTGTTTCTGGCCTAGAAGAAAGGCCCTGTGAGACAAAAATCAGTGGTGTAGAGTCAAAATTAAGTTGACTCTAAGGTCTGTTATTGCCATGTAACTGTGTGATGCGTGGCCAGCCTGGGTTTCCAAGTATCCTGCGTGGCTCTGATAGGGCAAAGGCTCCCCTTCCTTCTTCCAATTAACAGAAGTGCCTGTTTCCACAATGTTTACTTTATAGCTGCCTTTTTATAACCACATCTGTTCCTCCTTCCTTCAGCAAGATGAGAGTAAAGATTAAACCTATGGCAGAACTTATGGGGCTTCAGAGCAGGCCTCCTGCTGGCGGCGGGCGGCCGGCGGACCGGAAGTACCTCCTGCTGGGCCACCTGAGGAACCAGAGGCCGGCCCGGCCCGCATCTATAAAGCTACCTGGGAGTATCTAAAGCACTGCACCGGCGCGGCCCGCGCCTCAGTCCTTTGCTGCTCGGCTCTTCTTTCTGCAGACACAACACGGCACGTGCTGGTTGGGAGGCCCATCCTGAGGCCGGCGTAGGCCCAGCGGTCCAGCTCGCCTGGGCCCCACGGGCCCCTCAGCTGCTGCTGCTGCGGCGGCACTCGCGTCCCAGCCTCACCCCCCTGGGCCCGGCCCGCCCAGCCGCCCGCCCCGCGGCCTTCTGGGTCCGGCCGCGCCTCTGCCTCCGTCGCACTCACTGTCCCTCAGGCGGCGCTTGAACGCGGGATCCCCGCGCCGCTTCCGGTCTAAGTAAACACAGTAGCCGACGAAGGCGACAGCGCCACAGACCCCCAGAGCAGCCAGGAGGCCGAGGAGGGTGCGGACGCAGGGCATCCGGCCGCGGGCGTCCCTCGAGTCGAGCGTTGGGCGCGGGCTGGCGAGCGCGAGGACCGGGCCGGCCGGCAGGGGGAGGCGGCGCGGCGGCCCATCTCGGCCTCTGGGCTTCCTGTCCGCCCCGTCGCAGGCTCGCCGACGCCTTCCTCAGAGGCTTGCGGACAGATGAGGAGGCAGAGGGTCCGAGTGGACGTGTGTGGGAGGTCCCACAGCCACCAAGTAGCAGAGCTCTGTTCGAACCCAGGTCTGTCGCACTCCAAATTCTGAACCCCTTCCCCAGACACGCCCCTGGCACTATACCTAGGACCCCCAACAGGCAAATCACACACAGTATTGTAGAGAATCTGGTTAGCTGGGGACCTGGGTCGTCCTTAGGCCTGTGTTCCGTCACCTGCAAAATTAAGTTGACTCTAAGGTCATCTTTGGTCATCTCCTAGTTCACAGTGCTAACATTAGCCCGTACTCCCCAACCGGGTCTCCTGTGTCACCTGAAAGGACCCAGGAGTCCAAGGTCTCTAACTGTCTTAACTCAATAGTGGGAGAAGGGAAGAATTTTAAAGCCTAGCCTATGTAGCCTAGAAAAAAACGTTAATTTGCGGAGCTGGGCCTGGCAGTCAAAGGTCCCAGATTAAAAACAACTGAGAGACCTATAATACTTACTGGCCTAGATGCTTTTCTTTCTAATATTTGCTTTATTTAGCAGACAGCAGAAAGAAAGGAGGTAAGACTTTGCCCCAGATATCAGAGTCTTTTGATTTTTATACTGTCGACTGAGAAAGAGTCACCAAGTCTGTACATTTAGAAAGGAGACTTTCTTTCTTATAAAGGGTTACAATCTGCAGGCTGGCCATCCTGACAGGCCGGGAAGTGTAGCCTGGGCAGAAGCCTGGAGACAGGCACCGGGAGGGAGTAAGACGGGAACTTCTGCTGAAAGGATTGGCCAAGTGTACATATTCAACGGGTTACTACAGGAGAAGCTATGCATATTCATGAAGGAGAACCACATACAGGTATTAGGTTTACAGGTATGTAACATACATCCCGTGATCACGGATCACGGGATGAGGTGGAGATTTAACATTTAAATGCATTATAATTAGGTGCTATACGTAAAAAGGTGAAATGTGGGGCACAAATTTATGAACTGTCCATCCTCAGGAGACTGGACAGAACCAGTTCCCAGGCAGCAGTCCTTTATTAAGAAGAAACTTTTTGTGGTCTGAAAGAGCTGTCATGTCAGAACCATGAAAACAGGAGGGCACAGGGGGTCAGATAAAGTAAGCAGAGGGGTCTTCCAGCCTTTTGTTCTCTCAAGCTGGCCTTGGATAAAATCTAGTAATGATTAGTAAGGGGAGAGAGTGAAAGCAAATGGGATGTGAACATCCTCCCATGGCTGGCAACTCTAAAATTTGGGAGTTTTAGCCAAAGGAGGATCCTTTATTCTGTCAGAGGGGTTTAGGACTTTGCAGACCTCAATACTGAGACAAAGAGAAGGCATAAGCTAGGTAAGGGCTTAACTAAATAATTTGTTTTTTTTTTATTCAACTGCTATTTACTAATTTATTTATTGACATTACTAGCAAAGCAAGGTGCTCATCACTGCTCTGATTACCAATGGGGCTGAGTAGCAGCCCCGGCCCTCACAATTCAAGAGTAAGCAGGGGTCAGTTACATACCATTACTTTCGTGGATACTGTATGTTTCTTCCCAGGATAATTCAGTATTCTAGTTGAGAACTTTGTTATTGTGAAAACCCGATTGTAAACATGGAGGAAAGGACATTATCAACAATCTAGTAAATGTTACTAGTGAATTGGGATTGGATTTGTGTTCAGAATCTTGGTGGTGGGTTTAGCCCAGCTCCAAATGATCTTTTGTAGGTGGACTGCACTTGTCTTCTAACCCCACTACTCTCCAGGCCTTCTTCCCGTCCTTCACTTCCATTGAGTTTACAGTTAATCCCTGCGGTAAGTGGTAAGTGGAGAGGTGGAGGGCCAGGGAAATTGTCTAGATTAGGTGGGTGTTCAGGGACAAAGTAAACAGTGACATATAAAGTCAGGAGAATTATTAAAGCAATTAGAAATAAACAGATTACTGAAGTTTAAATTACCACAGAAGCCATGAGGAAAAATAATTGAAAACTGTTTAGGTAAGTTTCCATGGTACAGGTAGGTATTTTCTTCTTAGATATAGGCACCACTTTTGCTAATTTGACGATCAGAATTCCTATAAAACTTCAGACATGGCCGGGTGTGGTGGCTCACACCTGTAATACTAGCGCTCTGGGACTCCGAGGCAGGAGGATTGCTTGAGCGCAGGAGTTCAAGACTAGCCTAAGCAAGAGCGAGACCCCGTCTCTACTAAACATAGAAAAACTAGCCAGGCGTTCTGGCATGCACCTGTAGTCCCAGCTACTCAGGAGGCTGAGGCAAGAGGATCATTTGAGCCCAGTAGTTTGAGGTTGCAGTGAGCTATGATGATACCACTGCACTCTACCTGGGTTGACAGAGTGAGACTCTGTCTTGGGTCGGGGGAAGCTTTGATCATTTTCATAGTGAGATGGCATTAATAGTTGTCCCCAAAGCATGGTTCTGTGCTGGATGATAGCTCTCTTTCTTTTAAACAGCATTATTGAGGTCTAATTGATATACAATAAGTTGCATGTATTTAAGGTGTACAGTTTGATAAATTTGGACATATGCATACATCCACAAAACTATCACCAAAATCAAGATAGTAATCATATATCCATCATCCCCAAACATTTCCTCAGGTACCTTTTTAATACTTCCCTCCATCCTTCTTTCCCCGCTCTGCCCTACTTTCTGTCACTACAGATTAGTTTGTATTTTCTAGAGTATTATACGAATGGAATCATACAGTATGTACTCTTTCATTGTCTGGCATCTTTCACTCAGCATATTTATTTTGAGATACATCCATGTTGTTGTATCAATAGCTCAATTTTATTGGTAAATAGTATTCCATTTTATGGATATTCCAAAATTTGTTTAGCCTTTTATCTGTTATAGACATTTGGATTGTTTCTGTTTTTTGACTCTTACAAATAAAGTTGCTATAAACATTTATATACAGGTCTTTATATGAACATATCTTTCCTGTTCATTCCCTTGGGTAAATACCCAAGGTGAACTAGTTGTATCATATGGTAGGGGTAATTTTTTTTTTAAGAAAATGTCAAACATTTTTCCAAAATTGTTATACCATTTTGCATTCCACTGATCAGGCTACCACTGATCTTTTAACTCTCTCCATAGTTTTCCTCTTCCAGAAAGTCATACTGTAGAGGACACTTTGTCTGGGAACGGTTCCTTATTGTTTTTCTCAAGAACATGCCTTGGCCTTGCACGCAAGTCCAGGGCTCCCTAACCCTGCAAACAGGAGGGGCTAGAAAGTTTAGATGCAAACATCTGCTCGCCGGAGACGAAACAACAAGGAACAGGGACATGTTGAGTCGGGACAGTGTGGGAACAAAGAAATTGCGGTGGGACAGTTGCCAAACAGGCTGTGTTAAAAATAAACCGCTGCAGGCCGGGCGCGGTGGCTCACGCCTGTAATCCTAGCTTTCTGGGAGGCCGAGGCGGGCAGATTGTTTGAGCTCAGGAGTTCGAAACCAGCCTGAGCAAGAGCGAGACCCCGTCTCTACTAAAAATAGAAAGAAATTAATTGGACAACTAAAAAATATAGAAAAATTAGCCGGGCATGGTGGCACATGCCTGTAGTCCCAGCTACTCGGGAGGCTGAGGCAGGAGGATCGCTTGAGCCCAGGAGTTTGAGGTTGCTGTGAGCTAGGCTGACGCCACGGCACTCACTCTAGCCCGGGCAAAAGAGTGAGACTCTGTCTCAAAAAAAAAATTAAAAAAAATAAATAAACCGCTGCAGCAGGAAAAACGGCTGCAGTCTTATACCGTCTTTGTGTGTCTGTGTCTCTTTGTAGTGGCTGCAGTCTTGTACCGTCTTTGTGTGTGTCTGTGTCCCTTTGTCTCTGTGTTCATTCCTCGGCCCCTAGAAACGGGCCACGGCATCATATAGTTGGAATCATAGAGTATGTAGTCTTTTCAGATTGCCTTCCTTCACTTAGTAATATGGATTTAAGTTTTCTTCATGTCTTTTCATGGCTTGATGGCTCATTTCTTTTAGAACTGAATAGAATATCCTATTATCTGGATGTACGACAGTTCATCCATTCACCTACTTGAAGGATATCTTGGTTCCTTCAAAGTATTGGCAATTATGAATAAAGCTGCTCTAAATAACCATGTGCAGGTTTATGTGTAGACATAAGTTTTCATCTCATTCAGTATACAAGGAGTGTGATTGCTGGATCGTGTGGTTACATTATGTTTAGTTTTGTAAGAAACCAAAGACAGCCAAACTGTCTTTCACAGTGGCTATACCATTTTGCATTCCTATGAGCAATGAATGAGAGTTCCTGTTGCTCCACATCTTCAACAGCATTTGTTATTGTTTTGGATTTTGCATTCTAATAGGTATGTAGTAGCATCTTGTTTTAATTTGTAATTCTCAAATGACATGATGTCGAACACTTTTTCATGTGCTTGTTTGACATCTGTATATCTTCTTCAGTGAGGTATCTGTTCAGATCTTTTGCCCATTTTTTAATCAGGTTTTTTTTTCTTGGTGTTGAGTGTTGAGAGTTGTCTATTTTGAATAATAGTCCTTTATCAGATACGTCTTTTGCAAACATTTTTTTCCTAGTGTGTGGTTTGTCTTCTCATTCTCTTGATGAACACCTTTTTTTAATGAGCTCATTTGCTATCCATATATCTTCCTAAGGGACTATGTATGCTCAAATCTTTAGTCCATTTTTAAGAAATTGCCTTTTTTTTTACTTTTGAGTTTTGATAGTTCTTTATATGTTCTTGATACAAGTCCTTTATATGATATATTCTCTGCAAATACTTTCTCCTAGTCTGTTTCTTGTTTTTTTATTAACAGTGTCTTTTAAATAGCCAAAG